CTCTTCTGTTTCATTGGAAATGTAACTTTTTTTTTCAAAAAAAAAAAAAAAAGATATACCAGAGGCTGAGGATTGTAGCAGATCTTGAAATATGTCCATAATGGTTGGTTAAATCTCGTCTTCATTTCAAGTGTCTAAGGTGAAATGGAAAATGATATTGACTAATTGTATGGAGCCAATATATTCAAAAGCATATGCATATGAACCAATTGCTTATGCAAAGGACATGCATTATTCCAAGGTTGACTCAGTTTTGAAGGTGATCTCCATATTTGTTGGTGATTAGATTCACTTTGTAATCTTTTTGTGCAGGAAGAATTTTCTTCTATAATTCAGTATTTCTAATGGCATCTTAATGGTAAATCTATTGACGAATATGTGTTATTTCATTCAGTAATGTGTTGAATTTAGTGCAAAATCTTTATTTGTCCCTGACTTGATGCCCTAGTGGGATGACACGCAAGGGAAATTGATGCAGATCCAGAAGGGAGAATTAAAGAATAACAACTTAAAAGGAGAAGAAAATAAAAATCTGCAATAAACAGTTGTATTCGATCAAAGAAAAAAATGATCAATAATTCAATCAAAGAAAATTAGAGAAAAGAGAAGGTTCAAAGCAAGAGAAAGAAGAAGAAAATGGAAGAAGAGGAGAAGAGATCACATCTCTCACCAGTCCCCTAATCAATCTTTTATTAGATTCAATAATAATATTTTATTACATAACTACTAAGATTTATAAAAAAAAAATGGGAGGGGGGAGGGTAAGTGTCACACCTCCCAAACTACAGCAGAGATCCCTATAATTTACCCTAAGGCTATTTTGGTTTGATCGGAAATAAGAGAAAATAAGAGAAATAGAACATTAAGGGAAATTCATAACAAATTTTGTAAAATTCCTTAATAACTGTCCCTTAACTTTCTATTCCTCTAATATTCAGTTTCTCTCTTATTTTTCATCAAACCAAACAGCCTAAAGTTTATCCAGGCCAGTCCATTTACAGGCTCAAGAAAAAAACAGTTTCTCCACTGTCCACACTAAGGCGATTTGGAAGTTCACTCCAACCAGAATCATGAAATTAGTAGAACCCAAGAGATCTATAAAACATAGAGAACTACTTACCTGGGTAAAGCCCTTGCCAAGAATAGGATGCAACTTGGACGGGCTTGGGTTGAGAATATTTTAAAATTTAAATAGGTCCAGGCCAAATGCAATGCAAATTCTTCAAGTGGAATACTTATCACCTTCACTACTCTCTGGGTGAATCCCTATTGCTTTAATCTTCATTATTTCCATCAATGATACTACAATAGGAACTGTTTATTGGGCTTTGATGTCAGGCCACTTCGGTTGAAGCTTGAGCAAGGGGAACCTTAGCATCTGGTTGGGCTTGGCCTCACACTAATACAGTTCATTGGGCTCGGCTTACTGTCCTCAATTACTCATTTGAAATCCATCCTTCAACCCTATTAATGTTGAAATTGTTTCAAAACTGTTAATATTCTCTTTTCCATATCCTATTTTTTGACTAATGAATATTAGCTTAAATTGGTTTTGTTTATTGCATACTTTTTCTTAAATGCCTAATAACATATCTATTTGAACTTTACAGAATACCATATACAGATATACTATCTAGAGTTTAGACCAGAAGCAATTAAAGACTGTTGGCTGTAAACTTGTGAGTTCGTACCTTGCTACAATGTTTTACTATCTTAATCACATAATCTATTTTTGTGAGAGAAAAAGCCTGTTGGGTCTACCCAATAGAACTGATTATCAGTTCTGGTTCTGTGGTTTGTGTCCTATTAATAATTGGGTCGGTATAGGTTTGCTAACTGATTATATAGTTAACAATATATAGAGGTCTCCCGGTTTTCTTGTACTTTTTGTTCTGATTTGTGTAAAAGGAAAATTTATAGACAGTATATAAGATGGTTTTGGTTAAAACAGTTGTTCTGTCAACATATAAGCATAAACAATTTACAATTTTATTGTCACTTTTAGTAAGGTCATATTATCAAAAATGAAATTCCGAGTCGTTATTATCATAGCTCGTGGGTAATTGTAGATGCCAACTATAATCGGGTCAAACCCAATAATGCTATCTCAGCAACAAAATCCCATTACACAACAATCCCAATGCTAACCTATAAGGGCTTTTTCCCAATTTTTACAAGAAAACCATACCTAGATTCGGGTATTTTGATGCAAAGAAAGAACTTTGCCTTGTTTAGGCGATTTTTAGATTCCGCCAAGCACTCTTCCTTGGCCAAATAAATCGGAAACCTGGCTGTAGAGAAGATGTGTGGCTAGCAATAGTGATACAGCGCGATCCGGGCACTCCTACCTGGCGAAAACCTGGCTCCTACCTGGCGACGGACGGTACCTGAGAAGAAGAGGGAGGTGAAGAATTCCTGGGGAGCTCGCCCGGCGGGAAGACTCCGATGCTTAAGTTAGAACTCTGAGAGAACTGTAGAGAATGCAAAGAGAGAGAGAGCTAAGAGTGCAGATAGCGAAAGTTAGTACCTTTGCTCCTTGGGGATCAAGGTCCTTTTATATTGGAGTTCTGCCAAATCAGGCGTAACTGCCTTTGTCAAGTCAGGCGTAACCGCCTCTGCCACAGCCGTTACTGCCAGAGTTGAGGTGGCGGGTGCAGGTAGCCATTGCAGGGTACGGGCCTGTCGGGCGTGCCACATCTTTCAGAAATGGCAGGCACGACGCCGCCTGATGAGGAACGTGGGCATAGCCTCTAGATTCGGCAGGTACTGTTGTCAGGCAGATCTTTCCTACAGGTTGCTGAGCTACTTTGCACTGAGCTACCTTGGGCCGAGCTACCTTACACCGAGGTGTTGGGGGTGCGCCGAGGTGCTTATGCTTGAGGCGAGTCTTAGGCAAGTATGGGCAAGATTGTTAATGGTGCTGACTCAAAGTGTTTCCACTTCGGGATGCTTAGCCGCAGGTCGGGGTGTTCCCTTCTCAGGAAGGAAGAGTTCGCAGGAGCTCGGGACTCCTCGCTTGGAGGGAGCTCGGGGCATTCCTCCCTTAGAGGGAATTCGGGGTAAGCTGGGCGTTACTTTCCGACGAGTTGCCACATCCACCGAGTTGTCCGGCCGGGCTCCGACGAGTTCGTTATGCCGAGTTATGGCCAGGCTGTCATGCTGAGTCGTCACTTATGCCAGGTCATGTCCACATGTCCTCATGCTATGAGGTCGGGCCAAATCACCCTCCATCAATTGCCCCCCACTCCCCGTGCTGGGGGTTCTAACCCAGCGCGGGGAGTTCGTGGTGTGCTTGGTGGATTTGGCTCGGAGCTCAGGCCTTCTTGTCAAGCAGCTCATTGGTCAGACTAGTTTATTGCTCGGCTCAATCAAGAGCAACCCGGGCCGCTTATGCCAGGTCATGTCCACGTTATTATCACTGCTTGTCTTGATCTTGACCGTTGATGCCCGAGTATGGTGGCTATAAATAGTGGGGATCCTGGTCATTTTTCCCTCGCCATAAGTTCTCAGGATCTCACTGATTGGCATATCAAAGACAAATCAATCCGACACCTAGTGCAGTACCATAATCGAGTCTAGGGGTTAGGTGTAACATTCTAGTTTTGCCCATCTGTCTTCAAAGTCCAGGGCAATATTGGAATTTGGTCTAGTTCATGGTTTCAAGAAAACCCACACTGCATGTGCCTCAAGTCTCACAGTGTTAGCTGAGACAAGTCACCTCAACCCACTTGGTAGCACATCAGTGTCAGCCTTGGCAGGATAAACCTCCGTAGTTCTATCCAATGGTTGTGAAGATTCTAAACTAGCACGAGTCTCATAAGTGTCAAGTTTAAGGGTATTACATAGAAATGTCAATAAGTACATGACAATAAGTACATCAATCTGATTGGAGCTAAGGGCATGCACTGTTTAACAGTTCCCACTTGCGCTTAGGTCCAATTGGGTACAAGCCGGAGTTCCATACTTTCCACATATTTCTCAAACACTTTCTGTGTCAGTGTCTTAGTCAATGGGTCTGTCACATTCTTCCTTGATGCTACCTTCTGAATCTGGACATCCTCTCTTCCAACTATCTCCCGCAGTACATGGTACTTCCTCTCGATGTGCTTTAACTTCGAGTGGGCTCGTTGCTTCTTAGCCTGAGCAATGGCTCCAGTTTTGTCACACAACAGTGGAATGGATGATGTGATGGATGGGAATGACTTCAAATTCCTGAATGAACTTTTTCATCCAAATGGCTTCCTTGGCAGCTTCACTTATGGCAATGTATTTAGCCTTGGTTGTGGAATCTGTAGTAGACCCCCTATTTGCTACTTTTCCAGCTAACTGCGCAAGACCCCATCGTGAAGATCTATCAGTTTCCTTATTTCTTCCAGTTCGTTTCTATCTTTCACCATGTCTAGTTTCGATAGTCAATTGGATGAGCCCGAGGTGGGTACCTCGGCTCAGGGTGACCCTACCGAAGTCCAGTCTCACGAGGCGCGGGAGGCCTCGGGTAACCTAGCGTCCACCTCTCACTGAGGTCGGATGTCGGATAGGTTCGGTCCTTCCACCATGACCCTGGAGAGGCTCTGACACCTTATCCGACAATACAACTTACCTAGGGAGTATACCTACAGTCTGCCTGCGGGAAACTTCTCATGGGAGCACAGTCCTGACGAGATCGTGATCTTCTGGGAGCAGCTCATAGCCGGGCTCCGTCTTCCTTTCCACCCCCTTATCATAGAGGTTCTGAATCACTTCAACGTCACAATAGACCAGCTTCACCCGAACTCCATTCATAAGGTGGTCGGGACCATTTCCCTTTGCTTTGAGTACGTCCTCCCTTTAGACTTAGATATTTTTTGTTCAATTCTCTCAATAAAGAAGAGCGCTTCAAGTGTTCTCCCCGAGCACAGGCAGGCCTACTACATTTCCCCTCGCCCGGGTTTCAAGTTACTGCACAAGCTTCCCAGCAAAGTCCCGGCTTGGAA